TCGACTATCATGGTTTCTTGGTATACAGTTCGAATTTAAAGACAACACTATTACAATGAATCAATCTAGATACATCGAAAGGCTCTTATCTAAATTCAGCATGCAAAATTGTAAAACACGAACTACTCCATGTGAAATGGATTTAAACACAATTATGAATAATGAAGATGGTATAGCGGCGTGTGAGAAAGAATACAGAACATTGGTTGGAAGTCTTATTTACGTGATGACATCAACCAGGCCAGATATCTGCTATACGGTTACTAAGTTGTCCCAAAACTTAAATAAACCAGGGATTGTGCATTTAACAAGAGCTAAGCAAGTATTACGTTATCTAAAGGGAACTAAGAGTCGGTGCCTAGTATTTCGACAATCAGATAAACCATTAAAATTGGGAGGATTTTGTGATGCTGATTGGGCAAACTCACCAGATCGTAAAAGTATAACAGGCTATTGCTTTAAGCTAGCAGACGGTAATCCAATAATCAGCTGGAAATCTAAGAAACAGGGAATTATTTCACTTTCTACTTGTGAGGCTGAATATATTGCATTGTCAAAAGCAACACAAGAGGCTATTTTTCTTAAATTACTAATAAAAACAATTACAACACTGGTAATAAGTGAACCAATAGTTCACTTATTACCAGTGTTGTAGTTCACTGCGACAATCAGGCCAGTATTGCTTTGGCTAGAAATCCAATAATACATCAAAGATCAAAGCATATCGATATTAAATATCAATTTGTTAGGGATCAAGTACAAAAGAAAACAGTACAAATTGAATACGTTCAATCGGAAAATAATATGGCGGATTTATTTACAAAGCCAATTACGAAATTGAAATTACGGGCTTTCACTTCTGCCATATTTGGTACTGACTTATAAGGTCCTTATTAGTCCTGGGAAAGACGTAAAACTGCATCCATTAAGTCCCTCTTAGGTCCTTATTTGTCCTGGGTAAGACGTAAAACTGCATCCATTAGGTCCTTCATTAGGCCCTTATTGTCTTAAGAAACGTCAAACTGCATCCATTAGTTATTGTCTGAAACGTCAGTTCAGTTTTTTGGTATGAATTCCTTAGTTTCGGGTTATAAATGTAAATAGTCCTACTTTTAGCCCAATCCTCCTCTAATGACCCTCAGGATCACTCTGACCCGGAGTGATAGTGACTGTTTTAATGGGTCCCAGCTGTGGGTAAAATAACAATTTTTTCCACTTTTTTGTTGTGATCACAACCCAAATTTGTAATATTGTTGTTAATGTTTATTAACCCGAAGTACTTAACTGTTGACAAAGCGATATGACTAATTTTTTGGATATTAATTTTTTAAAAAAAAAAAAAAAAAAAAAATTTATTTTAAATGCTAAAAAAAAAAATTCGGAATACTAAAGTATTTGTTCCATTTTATTAATGCTAAATAAAAAAAAAATATACCCAAAAATCTGATATGTATACTCCAAAGACTTGATTTTTTATAGTTTTATTCATATTAATATTTGACTTTACTAATAACCTTTTGAATCAGAAACTAGCCTCAATAAGAACTTTCCTTGCAGCATGCGGACAATTCCATAATATACCGACTTTCCCAAAAATTTCTCCAAGAACAAAGATGGGGCCCCAATCACCAGGGTTGCAGTTTTTTTGTGATATGTATGTACGTTGGATATAAGAGGCACATTTTAGAAACTAGTTCCAATCAGAAGCTATTCGGCCATCGTGCCTGAATGACTCGCGACATTCCAATTTTGATGAATCTCAATGCTAGGCATACCCAGACCGCCAGGGATGAAGGCAATAATCTCCAGAGATTAAACTTGCGGCCTTGTCTCCCCTCAAGAAAAAGAATCAATAAGAGTCTGGCATACGGAATATCGGTGAACAAAACGGGTAGATCCGTCCCCAGGTGGTGATCCCTCATCGTTATTGAAAGCATTTCCCCGACCACAGATTAACCGTGATCTCGCCTCCCTTTTCCGACCAATTCATTTCAACTGGAGATCATCACCGAACCAGACGCCCAGAGGAAAATGTCCAGAGAAAACTTTTCCACGCACCCAACCACAAGCCAATAGACTTATCAGAGTTGATCTTGGCCCCTGTCACCATCTCATAACCACTGATCTTTTTGCTGATTTCGTTAATCTCGGCTCTGCTCGACACTGAAACGTCATCAGTATATGCAGAATACCTGGCTGAGGTGGTAGCCCCAGGCAGGGAAATTTCGCGCAGGAACGGATTCACCTTTAACTTACGAAGGAAAGGTTCCAACGCAAGAACGTAAAGCAAAGGCGAAAGCGAACAACCTTGACGAATGGAGTGAGACAATACGAAAGGCTCCGATCTTACCCCATTCACTTCCACCAGTGCATCGGGAGTCGCATACAAAAGTCGAACAGATTCACCTCCGAAACCGGCCGCTGAAAAGAACAGCCTCCATACAAAGTCGAAAACCGGCCGCTACTCTAGATGGTCAACTCTATCGAAGGCCTTGGACTGATCTAAATTGATCAGCGCGGCTTCACTGTCGACTTGTTCTAAGATCAAACGTACCATATGAATGTTGTCCTGAATAGTCCTGTCCTTCACAGCACGTCTATTCAGAGCCAATCAGACTAGACAGGACAAGCTGCAAACGGTTGGCTAAGATCTTCGCCAAAATCTTCAACTCTGTGTTTAACATGGTTAAAGAACGAAAGTTATCTAACCCATCCCCACCGTTCTTGTCCTTACGCAACAACTTGATCACACCCCTGGTGAAGCGTTGAGGTATAGACCCCTGCTTCATCCAGTTGTTGAAAATCAGTTCCCGCAAAGGAACAAAAACAAGCGACTGCCTCAAGTAAACTTCATAGGGAAGACCATCTAGCCCCTGAGATTTATCCAGGCCAACCTGTCTCAGCGCTTCCCAGATTTCCGACTCTGTGATGGGACCCTCGCACCCAGCCGCATCAGCTGCCACGAGACAGGGAAAGTCGGCTAAATAGGCGTCGAACTGAGCAGAGCTCAGACCGGTCTCCCTGGTGAAAAGTTCCTGAAAGTAATCCCAAAATGCCCGCGTTTGTAGTCACGGTCCGCTTATCCGGCAATGTGACGCACGCGATATGTCGCCGAGACGCGCTTCGATTTTCCTCTGAACGCAATTCAGCGGCCATATTCGTCGCCTCAGAGGGCATTCTTTTTAACCTAGCCCTAACTACCAGAGCTTGATCCTTTTTTATACGCAAGGAGGGCGACTCTGCCTTAGCTAAGGCTATTTCCCCACTATCACGGGATTTCACTACCCGATCAACTTTTTGTTCTAAAGCCGTTTGCGCCGCTAATCTATCTAGATTGTCAACGACTAAAATCGGCAGCAAACGTTCTAATTTTGGATTTTAGTTTATCCCACCAGGCGTTCCCTACAACTGCCCCCGTCAATTCCCTCTGTATCATTAGTAGCAGCTGGTTCCGGAAATCATACTCACCAAATAATGAACAGTTTAATGTCCAGTAGCCAGCCAACCTAACTGTTGTGAGACCGTAACATACCTACAACATGGACTCTTCCAGGACTATATAAAGTATGCGATATAATACTCTAGGAGAAAAGAGAGAGAGAGAGTATTCTAATACCGTAGTATCAGCCGCGTACGACTACCAATATTGGACACTAGCACATAGTAAGCTCCGCTTACACTTACACTATCTTTGTAACCTTTTTGTTTAATATATCTTTCTTACCTCTAATCCGTGTTCCGTGTTTTCCTTCCGTGGTCCAAACTTTGGGCCCACATCACTAACCTTAGGCTTATCTAAGTTTACACGGACCCGGACAAGCCTATGATCTGAATAAACTATATAATAGAAACTTGGACACCTTAAGAGCCCTACATCGACTCTCCTAACTAAGACTCGGTCGAGGTAGCTAGCAAACGTCCCAGGAGCCGAGTTGCCACTATTTGTCCAAGTCCATGCTACCTCCCGAGGGTGCTCATTCCGGTACTTATCAACAAGATCAAACCCGTCGATAAAGTCCCGAAATGGTTTCACATCCTGGTTGTTAGCACCCGGATTTTGCCCTATAAGATCTATATCGAGGTCAAGGACGGCATTCCAATCCCCCGTTAAAACTACCCGACGAGATGTCGTCAAGGACGGCTCGATCTGCCGAAACAAAGCAGGCCGCTCAGAATGGTTATTGGGCGCATAAACCCCAATGATACGCAGAGCCTTATCCTTTATGGCAACATCCAGCACGCAAAGCCTGCCCGCCGGATCTGCGAAGACAAGAGTACATGCAGCCTTCAAAGATTTGCTCACTAGCCAAGAGATACCCCTCGAACGACCATCAAAAATATGTCTTCACGGTCATGAGAAGAAAACCGGGTCTCTTGGACACAACAAACATTCACCCCGAGGAGAGCCCCACTCTGCGAGACGCCGACCTCAGGCCTCGGACATTTATACTTGCTAACCAGAGAGCCATAGTGAAGACCGGTTAGGGTTGCTTTCCTGAATTGAACATGGCTGGGGTAAGGATACCGACATCTTCTCCTATAGACCCATGGCCCATCTCAGTCTTGATGGTACCGTCTTGTAAGATTCCGCCAATATCCCATGGGAAAGTAATTTTACTGCTCTATAGAGGGAGGGGTGAACAAAAACCGGGACCCCTCCCAGGACAAAAATTCATTTTTCTCAATTTATTGTTCTGGACGATTGCAATGGGCGGGGTCATTTTGAATGAAGTAATAGCTTCATCCAACATTGACCAAACCTGTTTTGCCCCTGTCTCAGTTCTGATTACTGTTAGCACCCTTTGTGCGTTTGGGAAATTATTAGGTTCTTCAATTGTCCCCGAATTGTTTTATGGCTAACAGGTATTTTAAATTTTTAATCTTGTTTCCATAATCTCTGGCTTTCTCAGCTTGAATGGGAGAGATCTTACAAACATCTAAACCGGGATTGTAAATGTGTTTTTTTTTTTTTTTTTTTTTTTTTTTTGCTTCCGGTTGCATCATGTGGGGCTTCTGTGCCTTTTGTTTAGTGGAGGGGGCATTTCCGAGGATTTAATGGGAGAAGGACTGGGGGTGTGGTGGGGTGTATATGTTTGTCTAAAAGGGCTGGGGTCTCTACTGAGAGGGATTGAGGATTGGGAAAAAGGGGGAAGGAGAGGCAGGTGAGGACTTCTCTCTACAAAGAGGGGTTGAGGGATGGGGAGAAAATGGTGGGTCGGAGGATGTGGAGGGAGTGGCCTTCTTTGTGGAGATGGACTTGGGCTGACTGGATGTAGAGGGTTGAGAAGACTGTACTGAATGTTAGACAGTGGATGCGGAGGGAGGTGCTTCCTTAATGTGGGAAGATTTTTTTCCCGTTGGATGTCTAATTTCTTTTTTAAATCCTTGATTTTTTCAGCCTTCTCGTATGAAGGGTCATATTTTTTTGAGTTCTTTTAGTGTCGGTAATGAGGCCGGGCGTCACCCTTACTGTTGTCAGAGGGAGTGGTGCTGTAAGTGCCTTTAGTCCTAGGAGCTTCAGGGGACTGAGGACCCGCTGTCTGACGCTTCCCTCTGGCCCTGCCAGCAACCTGCTATTCTCCCTCTCCCTCCTTCTAAAATGTACTTGCAGTAGAAGAAAGCTCTTCGGTGAATGGGGGCTTTGGTGATGGCCCAACCGGAGGTTTGACCATTCCGGTCCCGAAAGCCGGCATGCCCATTACAGGCGAGGCAGTTTTTAAAGACACGGTCAGAGGGTGAGTTTGGTCGACTGGGACCTGACCTCCAGAGGCCTTCTTCTCTGGACAGGAAGAGGAGAGGTGACCAGTCTCTCTGCACTTCCAACAAACTGGTTTACGGCCGATCACAATGACCATCAGCTTTAGGCCACCAACACCAAGACTGAATAAGATTCCAGGATACTGGCGTAACTTTAAATTTTATTAATAGAAGATAATGTTAGAATACATGCTGTTATCTGCATTCAAACCAGCCACACAGTACTGCCGAGTAAGTAAGCTAAGAAGGACTCTTCCGGTGTTACTTATATAGTAGTTCCTCATGAAAGACATTCATGCTGGAACCTATTACATCCCTTCCTTCACAAGAATGTTCGTCATCTCAGTTTCACGGTTAACTGAAATAAAAAAATGATCTACATGTGAATTAATAGGGCTAATAAAGTTGATCGAGTTAATAGAGTTGATAGAGTGTCACTCATGTCCGTATCGGTCAGGGGGTCTCACTGCCCTTCCAGATCTAGTCATGTAAGGGTTGTCTGCTGTCCCTGCAGGTGGTTGAGAGGCATGATATTTTCCTCCATCATAAGTCTTGTCATCAATATCAAAAGATGCTGATTTCTCACGGAGTTGGTGTCGGTTGCGCCTAACCACACCACCTTCGTCCTGTTTTACCATGTAGGATCTGGGTTCCTCGCAGACATTTTGTACTTGGGCAGGCTTCCACCTATTGGTGCTCTGGTCTTGGATGAAGATCTTCTGTCCTTTGTATAGTGGAGGTAGATCTCTAGCATTTCTGTCATGTTGAGCTTTCTGTGATTCCTGTCTTTCATTCAACCGACTGATGACATCGTCTCGACTTTGAGCCCTGTTGCTTGTGTGCATAGGCAGTGTGTCCTTTACCCTTCTGTTGAAAAGTAGTTCAGCAGGACTAGGCAGTTTCTGGTCAATTGGTGTTGTTCTGAGCGCCATCAAAGCCAGTTCAACATCCTCATTGGCTCTTTTGGCTTTCCTAAATGTGTTTTTATTGTTTGAATTTTCGCTCAACAAATCCGTTGAATCTGGGATAATATGGTGATGATGTTACGTGTCTGAAACCCCAATCTGATACGAATTTCCGGTATTCAGCGCTGTTGTAGTGAGGACCGTTGTCAGACACCGCCGTGGACGGTATGCTATATTCCGCAAATATTTGTTTAGTTGCGGTCACAATTTTTGAGCTCGGACAATGTTCTGGAAGCTTCCGTACTACTGTAGTAATCGGCAATGACCAGATAGCTTTCAGCATCCAATAAGAATAGATCTGTCCCTAGATAGTCCCATGGTTTGGTTGGCACCTCATGCTGTAGTAAACTTTCGTGCTGCTGACTTTTTTGGAACTCCTGCATTGTTTGCACATGTCAGTTATGTCTCTGTTGAGCTTGTGCCAATATACTGACTGTCTGGCTCGCAGGATTGTTTTGTCACCCCCAAGATGCCCCGTGTGTAATTGTTCAAGGGTTTTCTTCTGGAGGGGTCTTGGGATGATGACACGTTCTCCTTTCATCAGTACACCGTTCTCTACTGATAGTTCGTCTCTGAAACTCCAGTACTCACGTAGATCTGTGGGTACCTCTCTCAGGGTGTCGGGCCATCCCTGAATGATTATCTCGACAAGTTGGTTGAGCACTGGTTCTGCTCTCGTTAGACTGAGTACATTGGAGATCTTCTGCGTGGAGAACTGGACATGGTCTACTCGCAGGTCAAGGTCGATTGCTTCTTTGTTTTCGGGATTAGGAAAACGGCTCAAGGAATCCGGTAAGGTGAGTATCCTCCCAGATCTGTATTCTATGGTGAAGTTGTATCCCTGAAGCTTAAGCATCATTCTCTGAAGTCTTGGAGGTGCAGAAGTGATATTCTTATTAAAGATCATTATCAGTGGCTTGTGATCTGTAATGACATGGAAACTTCTGCCGTATAAGTATGTCTTGAACCTCTCAACTCCAAAACACACGACTATTATTTTCCTTTCAATGTTTGCATATCTGGTTTCCGTGTCTGTCAATGACTTGGAAGCATAGGCTACTGGTCTCTCTTCTCCCTTGTCGCTTATTTGGAGGGGTGCTGCTCCCAAACCCTTCTGGCTGGCGTCGACTTGCAGGATAACTGGTGCAGTTATATCATAATACTGTAGCGTTGCATCATCATCGATCAGAGCTTTCAATCTTTCCAAGCTGTTCTGCTAGCTCTCATCCCACAAAAATGACACATTCTGTTTTAGCAGTTGCTGGAGTGGTGCTGCTTTTTCTGCCAGGTTTGGTATAAATGGCGAAAGGTATTGGATTAGACCAAGAAATTCCTACAGCTCTTTCTTGTTCCTTGGGGTTGGCATTCAATTTTCCTCGGATCAGGATGTATGCCCTGCTCATCGTATATCATGACGAAGGAGATTCGCTTCTGTTTGATGAAGCACTTTTTGGAATTGAACATGAGACCATTTCTTTCTGCAACCCTCATTAACTGTATCAGGTTTTGGTCATGTTCCTGTTCAGTTCGTCCATACATTACAACATCATCTGTGATGCCATCGGCTCCAACGCACTGCTCTAGGATGGAGTCCATTCTCTGTTTGTAACAGGTCTTGAGATATAGCCAGACCAAATGGAAGTCTTTCAAAACAGTTCCTCCCAAATGGCGTTCTGAATGTTGTCAGTGCTGAGCTTCCTGGATCCAGTTTTAGGCTCCAACAACCATCTTTGGCATCCAGTTTTGAGAAGAATTTTGCACCGTTGAATTTCAACTATTGGAATTTTGTGCGGGCATCGCTTGAGTGCTTTATCTAGTTTTGCAGGGTCTAAACATACTCGCAAACCGCCATCTGCTTTTGTTGATAATGCCAGACTTGAACACCAATCTGTGTGTTCTGTCACTTTCCTAATTACATCACTCTTTTCCATCCTGTCAAGCTCCTGTTGGAGTTTATATCGCCTGTTAACGGGAAACTTCCGTGGTGGGTCTATGTATGGTACCGCATCTTCTTTTAGGTGAAGTTTCACTGTCCCCGGAAAGTTGCCAATTCTATCAAATTGTCCTGGGAACAACCTGGTCAAATCATCGACACTGTTAATTGTTATTGGGTCTACTGTTGGTTTAGGTTGCCGTGCTTCGTTCGCCTATGTTATAGCACAGTGGATTGTCACAGTCCCTAGATCTCGACTTGACCTATGTCCCATGACAAGCTGGTCCACGTACATCCACGACGTAGAATCTGGTTGGTCGCCAACGGTTGGAATTGTATCTGCATGGTATCCTGACTGATCCAAAGCATTTTATGGGCGTTTCATTATAAGCAATAAGCTTCGTATACCTCTGATTTGATCTTGTTCAAGTCCGGAAATCCCTTTGAATCTAAACGGTCTGGAAACATCTGGCGAAATATTCTGACTGGTAGAGTGTTACCCTGGGCGCCTGTGTCAGCCTTTATTTTCAGGTTTCATTTAAGCCTTTCGGTTTTTCTGAATGTCCACGACTGTGTATGCTTCATCTCTGTACCGTTCCTCTTTGTCTAAGGTTAAAGACGAAACTATAATTGATTCGAATGAGATGGTGTCGAATTCTGTGCTAGACTTTTGGACATGCCCACTTCTCGGTTCGCTGGGACTCCGTCCTGGGCTTACTGATGTCAATCTGGTTGGTTTTGTTTTAGTCTGTTTTGTTGTTTGGGGTCGGGCAGGTCTATATGATGTTTTTTTCTTTGAATATCTAGAAGTGATACAGATATTCTTCCAATGTCCCTGTTTTCCACACGCGTAGCATTTAGATCCACTGGCTGGACACTTGCCCGTCGGTTTTCGAGGGTGGCTACCTCCGCAATTCAGACAGACTGTTTTGATGGTGTCGGCCTTGACTGTGGTGTTTTCAGAACTTATGTTCATAGATTTAAGTTCCTGTACGCCTTTTTCCGTTGCTTCATAGTTGCGACCTAACTTCAAAGCGTTCTCGACTGTGTATCCTTTAGCTTTGTTTAAAAGTTCTTTTTGGAAGTCTTGGATGGGTGTAGATGCAATAATTTGTTCCAGAATTCTTTCGTTCATTTCATCAGCCCTGAAATCACATTTCTGAGCTTGTTTTCGGCATCTAGTACAAATTCGTCAAGGGTTTCATTGGTTTGTTTCTGGTAGAAGAAATGCATCTTCAGTCTTGCAACTCTGAAATTCTGGCTTGGATTCATCTGTTCTTCAAATCTTGACCAAATATACTCGTGATTTTTCTTTTCCTCCTCAGTTAGAGTCCACAGGTTGTATCTCCGAAGGCCCTCATCATCCATACCACGGAGAAAGTAGTAAATTATTGCTATCCCATTTCATTATGGGCATAATATGCTGAGCGTCTCTGGACATGTTAGTTGGTTATAGTATAATAATTAAGCAGGTGTACGTTTGCCGCTTTTTTTCTTTTTTTTTTTCAAGAAAAGCAGGGTTAGATACCGGGAAATATGTTATGGCATGAAAACGTGATATCATAGATTTTTTTCTTTTTTTCTATCGTAGCCTCAGACACGACAACAGAAAAAAAAAAACATTGGAAAGAGTTTGTCTTACCGCCATTGAATAAGATTTCGTTAGTATTTTTTTTTTACATTCCCGCTGTCTGTTGCATTATTACAGAAATTGAAATTTGGTTGTAGTTTTTAAGGATACTGACGTAAATTACTTTTATTAATAGAAGATAATGTTAGAATACATGCTGTTATCTGCATTCAAACCAGCCACACAGTACTGCCGAGTAAGTAAGCTAAGAAGGACTCTTCCGGTGAACTGGTGTTACTATAGTAATTCCTCATGCACGTCCCACAGGAAAAAGCTCTTGCCCTTAAAAATTCGAAGTGGATTAAACCACTGTGTCTTTCGTCGAACAACAAATTTTGCGCGAATGCTTGTTGACGACAAAAACGGACACTATTCTTTTCTCGATTTTCTTAAGTTTGATTGGATCCTCCAAGAGCCCACCTCCTAGCAAAGGTGTGCATAACTCTTGTCATGCTCCAAGAACTGCGCAATATCGATAATGCATTTAGGTGGGGACTTCCAACATCAGTGCGAATCCCCAGCGTCAGCAATATCACTATTCTTGTTCTTTTGGCCATCCTTAGCCTCCATAATCATATCAGTATTTTAGCCATTATTTGCCTCTGTAGAATCTCTATTTCTTTTTTGGCCATTATCGGCCTCCATATTTTCTTGGGATTTTGCATTATTGACTTCCGCACTATTTGGAGTTTTTTCTTGGCCACCATACTATTAAAATTGCCAGCAATGGCCTCCTCACAAGAGGAAGAAGATTGCAAGGCTAGGTACTTCTCTAAACTGTTTTTATCAGGCGGGTCTTTCTTTGGATTGAAGAGATGCTTCCTAATAGATCTCTTGAAAGTCCCCATTTTTAGGCTTCTTTTTCAAACTAAGAAAGAAGGCACTTTTTTTTCCTTCTTTTCCATTTTTAAAGGGACGGGGAGGGGTGAAAAGGGGGGAAAAATAGTTATAAGTTCCGCCTTATAGGCAAAACCAAAAATTCAAGAAAAAAATAAAACAGACAAAAAACAGCAGGTGACAGACAAAAATCAAAAAAGACACAAAGCTCACCCGAAAGCGAGACAGCAAGTAAAAAGTACAAAAATAAGGAACAAATAAATATACACAAAGGTTTTACAAAAATCAAATGACAAAAGAGAACAAATAAAACAAGGTTCACAAATTTAAAATGTACGAAAAATAAAAGAACAGAGTTCACCTAGAGGCAAAACGATAAATTTAAAAAAGAAAACGCAAAAAGGAAAATAAAACGAAAACGCTAGACAAAGAAAAAGCAAAATGTTATAAAAAGAAAATACGAAACTTACAACAATAGAC